GCTGTGGACTGACCCACGAAATGTGGGCTGGCGTGACAAGACCTCCTACCGCTGGCAGCTGCTGCACCGGCCTCAAGTTGGCTACATTCGGTGAGGGGACAGGCTGCCTCCTGAGGGACCCCAGGCTCAGCCTTTCCTTCCCTTTTAGCTGGGACTCACCAGTGACCCCTCCACTCAGTGCCTTGGTGCCATGGGCCCAGACTGGGACCACTTCTCTCCATCCTCTTTCACCACAGACACGCTGCCTCAGCCCTGCTTTCTTCCTAGCATCAGGCGGCCTGGGCTCTAGTGCTGATGACCTATCGGCAATGTTGGGCAAGTCCTTCCTTTCCTGTGCTCCATTTCCACTCAGTACAACAAGGGCACCTCTGGGAGCCTCCAAGCCCAGGCCAGTCTGCGGAGAGGGACATCATATCCAGCCCTTTCACTGGGTGGGACAGCCCAGAAGCTGCCTCCTCAAGGGGTCTGGCCTGGAAGGGACCATCATTGACAGACGTGCAAACCAAGCCCCAGACTTCACAGCTCCTCAGAGCAGGGCTGAGACCTCTTAGTTCAGCACTTTGTCCACGACTTTGCATTTCCTAGTTGGTAGGGATGACAGAGAAGGGAGAGGAAATGGCCAAGAGCCCAGAGTTCAGACACTGGGGTTGGTTTCCCTTTAAGGTTCCTGGGGCTGTGGGGCGCCAGGGCAAGGGATAAGGGAGGGGTGGACCAGAGCCTGGGAAGCGGGTGACTTCACCCCCCAGCCCATTGTGTTCATCGTCATGGCAACCCAATCCTCGCTTGGAATGCGGCTGGTGCTTTGAGATGCAAAGGGGGCTGGACAAAGAGCCAGGGGCCCCAGGCCTGAGAAAAGCACCCCCTTCCCTCCCCTTTCCTTCCTTCTCTCAGGCCTGGTGAGCTAAGCTAAGGGGGGTTGGGGATGAGCAGGGCCCCAGCATAGTGGCACAGTGCCCACTGGTACCCTGGCACCAACGGAAACCCCTATCCTGGACAGAGTGAAGCTCTATGAGGGTCCCCAGCTAGTGGCGGATTCTGGGGTGATCATTGACACATCCATGCGAGGGGGGCGTCTTGGTGTATTCTGCTTCTCCCAAGAAAACATCATTTGGTCCAATCTCCAGTACCGATGCAATGGTGAGGCTCTCTACCCCTATCAGCCTGACCTCTTGTGCCCTCATGGGAGGCCGGCACATCCTTGACTTTAATCGTTTCTCCTTCCTCAGACACAGTTCCCGAGGACTTTGAGCCATTCCGGAGGCAGCTGCTCCTTGGAAGAGTGTGAAGAGGTGGCTACCAGATTCAAAATCCCGATTTTAGACCCTTTGGCCTTGGGATCCATCCCGGTGGCCCCCGGCTCTAATCTACAGCCCCTCGGCCAAACGCACACCCTCCTCTGGCACCATCAGGAGTTCAGCCCCAGAGGAGTGGTGACTGTTGAGATGGGAAGTTTTCAAGGGGCATTTCTCAGGCGCTAACCCCAGGAAAGATAAGAGCATATTACCATAAAGTTCCAGTTGTTTTCTAAGCCAGTGCAGTTGCTTATTTTAGGGATTTTCCGGGGTAGTGACCAGTGAAAAAGGACCCTGAGAAGGGTAAGGGAGAGGGCTGGTCGGAGGGAAGTTAGAGGAAGTTTGGCTGAGCCTGGGGCACGGTGAGGCAGGTGCTGGGTGAGGGTTAGGGGAAGGATGGGGCTGGGGTAGGAGAAGGATGAGGTGCTGGTCAGAGGGTGGTTAAAGTTCTCCCAGCCCCACTTACTTACGATGGCAGCAGCGACACTCCAGTCAATAGATCGGTCAGGATCGAGAGCCAGGAGGGCTGGGGCTGCCCCGCTCGGGGTGAGCGGGGGGCCGGGGGGCCGGGAGGGCCGGAGGCCGGGACGAGTGCAATATTGGCGGGGGGAAGAACAACACTGCACCGCGTCCCGTCCCTCCCGCCCGCCCGGGGCCCGGGATCCCGCTCCCCCCCGCTTAAAGCGGGACCAGCCCAAGGACCCGGAGCGCTCTGGGAAGTTGAGTTCACCTGGGAGGCCAGAGGGACTTGGCGGCCGGAAGAGGGGGAAGGGGACGGGAAGGGGAGGTGGGGGGAGAGGGAGAAGGCCGAAGGGACGACACCGGTATCCCGGAAGGCCGCTTTCTGACGCCGGCGTTGTGCGCGCTTGCTCTTTAAATACTCCCGACTGCACGGCGCGGAGCTGTCGCCATGGTAACGCGTATCCCAGCAACTGAACTAAAGGCTGTTGCCTGGCAACTCCAGGGTTGAAGTTTGGAGGCCGCCCACCTAGATACCCGCGCGTTCTCTGGCGGCGGGTGGAGGGCTTCCCCGCCCCTCCCACCGCGCCGGGCGCTGACGTCCCGCCGGGCGCCGCACAAAGCCGCGCCGACCGGGTGGAGAGCTGTTGTCCCAGGCTTCCCGCCGCACCGATGTGTGTAAAGTTAATTTTCAATCTGTATTCATCGGGGCTAAGAATTGTGCCCCTAACGCGGATGTAGCTGCTTCCGTTGGCCGAGACCGCAACCCAGCACCTCCGGCGGAGGCCAGACACCCTAAATTCCGTGCGCCGCTGTGAACACCTCTCTGGTCCCAGATATCTCTGTCCTTTAATCTGTCTCGGTTCTCCAAAGTGGCGCGACCTCATACACTTTTACCATGTGCTTACCTGCTCCAAATACCACTCTGCTCCCCCAAAAGGTAGCCCACGGTCCCCCAATACCATTCTGCGTCCTACCTATTATCTGACTCCTAAATACGTAACCTGTCGCACCGCCCCCCACTTTTCCGATGTACTTTCTTACACGCCTCGCCCACCTTTCCGCGTACCTCAGGATCACACCCACTTAGCGCCATTTCCTGCAGACATCGCCCCATGCGCCCGAGTCCCTCCTACGGTCCCCAGCCTCTCCGTCGATGGCGCACTGCATTCCTCCCCTTCTCGGTCCCAGCCACTGGCTCTTTTCCCCGGGGCGCTGCCCTCCCCATCCTCTCCCGGCCCCCGGCAAAGTATAATTTAGGACTGAATTTTTATTTAATGTTAGAATAATTGTCACTTTCAACAGTTAAGAAGCAGTTAGTATAAAGCCGTACTAGTGTAAGGGGTCAGGT